ATTTTGCTTTGTCATTCCGTGCTGCCTTTTGGAATCTTCTGTTCAGATCTTTAGTGTCTTGTGTAGGTTCCACCTTTTGCTGAATAATTTGTAAATGGGAAGAGAGAAAGAAGAAGCCTTTTAATCTGTTCTTTAACATAGTTCTTCTGCAGTAGGTCATGCAGTAGCATGAACATTTGAAACATTAAACTATTAACATTAATTCTTTTTCCCCCCTAGGATTTTGATGGACGTTCTTGCATTGTTTGCCCTTGGCATAAATACAAAATTACCCTGGCAACAGGAGAAGGACTCCATCAATCTATAGACCCTAAAGATCCATCAGCAAAACCGAAGTGGTGCTCCAAAGGAATAAAGCAGAGGATTCATACAGTAACGGTGGACAAGGGGAATGTTTATGTGACTCTTTCAAAGGAACCTTTTAAATGTGATTCAGACTTTTATGCCACTGGGGAATTCAAAGTAATTAAGACTTTATGATAAAAATATATGGAAATTTAAAAAAATATGTATGCTTTGAAAATATTTTTATCTTTCCATCAATACCAAAGATGATTTTTTTCTCTCTCAGTGGCTCAATTATTGTTATTGCTGTTGTTGTGACCATCGAGTCAATCCTATGTACAACAGCTCTGAACCCTTCTCTATCACGAGCCAACCTCATTGTCTAACACATCTACCCCATTACCCCAGTCACTAAGTCAATCCATCTCATCTAGTGTCTTCCTCTTGCGCCGTCCCTCCACCCTTCCAAGCATGTCCCTCTCCAAAGACTGGTCCCTTTTTTTCAAAATGTCCCAAATATGTCAGACAGAGCTTCAAAATCCTTGCTTCCAAGGAGCAGCTTGGTTTCACCCTCTCCAGGACGAATCTGTTTGTTTTCCTAGCAGTCCATGTATGTTCAGTACTCTTCGCAAGCACCACAGCTCAAAGGCATCCATTCTTTTGTCATCCTTAGTCATTGTCCAGCTTTTCAATACACAGCAAGTAACTGCAAAGACTATGGCCTGAATCATTCACAATTACTCATTTCTGATAGTTATAAATTCAGAAGGCTGAAATGTGCATGTGCTTACAGATTACCATCAGGATCTCTGGGATGTTGTTGTTAGGTGCCACCTAATCAACTGCAACTTACAGTGCTCTTCTGAACATCAGATTGAAACTGTGCTCTGTTCTGTACCATCCTCACACTCCCCACCATGCTCCAGTCTACCGTTGTACTCACGGTGTCAGTCCATCTCATTGTTATCTCTTTTGCTGACCCTCCACTTTTCCAACATGGTGTCTTTTTCCAATGACAGGACCCTTTTGACAACATGCCCAAAGTATGTGAGACAATGTTTTACCATCTTTGCCTGTAAGAAGCAACCTTGATGCACTTTCTCTAGGACAGATTTGTTTGTTCTTTTGGCAGTCCATGGCATATTCGATATTCTGTGTCAATATCATAATTCAAAGACATTGATTCTTCATTCCTTATTCATTGTCTAATTTTCACATTCATATGAAACAATTGAAAATGCTATTGTTTGAGGCAGGCACACCTTAGTATTTAAACTGACATCCTTGCTCTTTAGCACTTTAAAGAGATCCTTGATAACAGATAAGCTTAGTGCATGCAATGTGTCTTTTAAGACATTTCATCCAGTCCTCTAAAACATATTTAGAACCTGAAGGTTAAATGTTTATGGAATGCTCAATTTAAGTAGAGTGAAAATAATTTGGAATATTAAAAATGAATAAAAAGTAAGGTATAGTAGAAGACATTTTCAATTAGCTGCAAAGAGCACAGTGTAGCTGTTAGTTTAACTGGCTTTATTCTAGAATATTTCAAATATATGTAAAGTCAACAAAATGGCACGGTGAACTCCCATGTGTACGTCACCCAACTTCACCAGTTACTAGCATTGCACCATTATTATTTCATCCATGCCTCTTGATTTCCCATGGACTAATTTGATTATTTTTTTAAGGTAAAATTTAAATTCATAGTGACCTGCATAGTGACCATAGTAGAACTGCCCCATGTTATTTTCAAGGCTGTAACTCTTTATGGGAGGAGCCTACCTCATGAAGGTTTTTCCTGTGAAGCAGATAGTGAACTTGAACCTCTGACCTTGAATTTAACAGCATAAGACTTAACCTATAGTAATATCAAGATTCTTATTCATAATAAATGTTGTTGTTAAGGGCCCTCAAGTCTCCTGTGACTCATAGCAATTCTATGTACAACAGCCCTAAACCCTGCTCTACCCTGTGCCAATCTCACTGTGTCTGACACACCTATCCTGATTACCCCAGTCACTGAATCAATCATGATAAGGAGAGAAATTAAAAGAAATGCCTGTAGATAGAAAATAGTAGTTTATTATCTCTGAAAGAAAGAATAATATTTCATAAGATTTTTGCCCTGGATAAATAATTGGAAAGACACTCAGATTAGGCCTTTAATAAAAATGATTTATTATGAAGAAAGCCCACAATCTAAACCTCAGCAGGAAGGCTAGCTCACCAAAAGGAAACTTCCTTTGCTCATTAAATTATCTTGTACATATTTCTACTTCAAGTTAAGTTTTAATTTTTGTACCATATAAAAACTACAGCAAATAACATTTTAGTAGAAGCTCCCTACTTTTATTAAAAAAGAGTGTTCAGTATATGTAAACTAAACCCACAGCTTTGACACATACCATGGGTCATAGACAACTCTTACATTCCTCTATAGTATTTATGCTCATATTTTCTCATTCTTTTCAGATGATCGGTCAAACACAGAATGTAAAACCTGGATCTTATTACTCGGCTTATTAGCAGGAAGCTTGGGGTGGGCTGCCGTGCTGTCTGGCTTCTCTGGTAATGACCTGTAAGGTTTTGCTGTGATTTTACCTTCAGAAGGCACAGGCTCAGGAAGCACAGGTTCAGAACAGGCTTTTCTAAGACTTTCAGTCTCTTGTCTCCTTTGCCGGATGGCATCTTCTTCTTGGAGTATTTTCTGCACTTTCTCCAACATGGCATTAACACAGACTGTCTATACAATAAACATTATTTTTGAAAAGTAAGATTTCCTTTTAAACTCTTCTATGTATAATAAAATAGCATAAAATTGCTACTCTACATATTCCAATAAAGCATTTCCACACTAGAACTTTTATATGATAAGCATTAGAAGATCAATTCCTTGTTGTAAGTTTATTACATTACAATGTAATCAAAAACATAAAATCTAGAATGTTCTGATAAAGACGTGTTTTAACATCTTTCCCACCTTACTATATATTTTACATCATTTTTCTTTTGACTTAATGAAATAGGTTTTGAGTGATATAGTTTGTTCTTAAGCATATCTGTATCTTAAAGTTTGTTGGTGTTTTTAATTCTTCATGACCCTTAGATCACTCTCTGTGTGTACATTGGGAAAGACATTAACATTTTGGTAAGAATCTAGTAAACTATTTGTAAGAAAAGCTGTGATCTACTTTGCTTAAAAATATCCAATACTTTAAGGAGAATGATACCAAAATAAAAGATAGGGGAAAATAATTTCAAATATTGTAAATCACTAAGACTAACATCTCTTAAAATTAGTTGTTATTGTTTTGTGTCATTTAGTCAAAACCAACTCATAGCTAATCCTTCAGTGGGTTTTCAGAGGCTACAAATTGCATGGCAAGAGACTTCCCGTCTTTCTCCCAGTTTGAATCCAGCTGCTGGATTCAAACTACTTGCCTTTGGGTTGGCAGCACAACTCCTCACTCACTAGGCCACCAGATCTCCCTTCAAATTAGAAAATCTTTACCAAAGTGATGAGGATGATAGGCAGCTAACTAGTTGGCAAACAATGTGGATAATAAAATTGATGAAACATGAGACTGAAAATAGCTTATTTTTACAGAAGCTATACCTGGAGTGGATATGTTGTTGTTGTTTCCCATTGAGTGAAAGCCAACCCTCAGCTGACCTTCCGGTGGGTTTCAGTATCAGTAAATCACATGGGAGGAGATTGCTACTCCTTCCCCTGAAGAGCATGTGGTGGATTTGAACTGTGTACCTTTGATATAGTGAACTATAAACCACTTGAAAGTTTTCCGAAAGAAAGCACTGAGAGAGGAATTGAGATCCTTAAGCTTGAACAGCCTCAGTTTTCTTCTGCTCTAAATATAAAAAAAAACAAAACAAAATACTAGATGCTTTCACTGAGTTCCTTGCATTTAAATGTGTATTGTCATTATGTGACATTTAGTCAACCACAATTCATAGTGACCCTGTGCACGATAGCTCTGAAGTCTGCCCTATCAGGAGCAAATCTCTCTGCCTCCTAAATCCCATTACACCAGTTACTGTGTCAGTCTGTCTCATCCAGGGTCTTCCTGTCCTGCACTGTCCCTCCACCCTTCCAAGCATGATGCCCTTCTTCAAGGACCAGTTCCTCCTGGCAACATGTCCAACGATGTGATATGGAGCTTCAAAATCCTTGCCTCAAAAGAACAACTTAGTTTCATCCTCTCTAGGACAAACCTTTTTGTTCTCTTGGCAGTCCATGTGTATTAGAGGATATAAAATGGAATGTCTGCTGGGGAGAAAGTTGAAAGGGTTTCTGTCTTCTAGAGAAAGGCAATGAGTTTTATTTACCTCTACTTATTCCCCTCCCTTCTACTTTGAATATAGATATGGATGTGATGGTCAAACATTTGCCAAAAGCTCTAAAGACAAAAAACAACAGTGGAATAGAGGAGAGAGATGGTAAGACCCTGGGTTTGTAAAGGCACTGCTAGTCAAATGAATTTGAGAAATGCCTAATTCTAAGTAAAAAAATCTAAGTTGTATTCATTCATTACTCATGTTCCATCTGTATGCTAAGCAGATAATACAAGAAACTGGATTATATGAAGAATATGACATCAAAATTGAAGGGAAACTCATTAATAGCCTGCAGTATGTCAATGTCACAACTTGCTGAAAATAAAAAGGACTTGAAGCATTTTCTGATAAAGATTAAAGAATATAGGCTTCAGTATAGATTACATCTCAATATTTTAAAAAAATTCCTGCTGAAACTGAGAAGGATCTGAAGTGCTTGCTGCAGAAGGTCAAGGACTGCAGCCTTCAATATGGATTGAGGCTCAATATCAAGAAGACAAAGATTGTCACCACTGGGCTGATTGGCAGTATCCTGATAGATGCCGAAGAGACTGAGATTGTTGACAGCTTCAGTTTGCTTGGCTCTACAATCAACACTCAGTACCAGCAGCCAGAACATTAAAAGATGAATTGCACTGGGAAAGTACTGTCTGAGACCTTTCCAAAGTGCAAAGAGCAACAGTGTCAGTCTGGAGACTAAGGTGTGCTTGATACAGGCCATGGTCTTTGCAATTACTTGCTATCTATTAGAGAGCTGGACAATGACTAGGAATGTTAGATGGAGAGTTGATGCCTTTGAGCTGTGGTGCTGGAGAAGAGTGTTGAATATACCATGGACTGCTAGGAGAACAAACAGGTTCATCCTGGAGAGGGTGAAGACAGGCTGCTCCTTGGAGGCAAGGATTCTGAAGATCGGTCTGACATACTTTAGACATGTTGCAAGGCGGGATCAGTCCTTGGAGAGGGACGTCATGCTTGAGAGGGTGGAGGGACAGTGCAGGAGAGGAAGACCCTTGAGATGGATTGATTCAGTCACTGGGATAATGGGTATAGGTGTGTCAGAGACAACAAGATTGGTACAGGACATAGAGCAGGGTTTAGGGCTGTTGTACATAGGGTTACTGTGAGTCACAGGCGACTCGGCAGCATATAATAACAACATCTCTCTGGACTAATAAACAGTGTTCTGATAAGCACAGAAAAGATTGATGATTTTTCTTTTCCTTAAATCCATAATCAGTGCCCAGGGAAGTGTTGCTGTGTACCTTTGAGTCAGGATTAACTTCTAGCCGACTATCCAGCGGGTTTTCAGAGGCAGTTAATTGCACAGGAGATTGCCCATCTTTTTTCCGTGTAGCCACTGGCAGATTTGAACTGCATTCCTTTAGTTTGACAGCACAGTTCCTTACCACTAAGCCACAGGAGAATAAGAAAGGAAGAACTCACTTGCTATGTTTCAAGCTGAGAGAACTGGCAAAATTTAGAGATACTATGGGCAAAATCTTGGATGATCCAGGAAGCATCAAAAGAAGATGGAGGGAATACACAGAATCACTTTGTTAGCCTTAATCACTTCATGTTAGCCTGACCCAAACCATGGATTTTTGGTCACCTTTTATGGGTGCTGAAGCTGGATAGTTAGTAAGAAGTCGAAAGAAGAAATATAGCATTGGTGAAGCGTATTGAATAAAACGTGGACTTCCAGAAAAATGATCAGTGTATCTTGAAAGAAGTGCAGCAGCCAGAATGCGCCTTCCAAGCAGTGAGGGTGAGACTTCTCAGGCTTGTTATCAGGGAGGACCAGTTCTTAAAGAAGGATATCACGCTTAGTAAAGTAAAAGGTCAGCAAAGAAGAGGAAGACCCTCACTGACATGGACAGGCATAGGAGCTGCAACAGTGCAATCAAATACAGTGAGGGTTGTGTGCAACTCGGCATTATTTCTGGTGAGCATGAGTGATCAAGATTAATATTCCTCTACTTTTGCTTTTAACTTAAACTATCTTGTGACTTCATTCATGTTGAGAATAGTTAAAATGCTCAATCACTAACTATTAATTTTAGTCCACACAGAGATAGATGTCTTGAGAGAAAGGCTCAGTGATCCATATACCGAAAAGTAGCCATAGTAAACCTTGTGGAGCACAGTTCTGCCTTGAAACTCATAAGGTCACTATGAAGCAAAGTTGACCCAGCAGCAACTAAGGTTTTTCCTGTATCTTCTCTACCAAGAATACCTGCTTGTTTAACTTCTGACTCTACTGGTTCCTCTAAAACCTACAACATGCTTGATATCTACCATTCTATAAGAAAACAAAAATTCCTGGCACCTTGTTTTATCTTGACTGCTGTGTACTCATATTTTTGGTCAAACAAGTTATTTATGATTTCCATATTATAATTTTCTGGTAATTCTGAAGACTAATTTATGCATAGTATTTATTTATTAATTTATATATAAGGATATGCTACTATTTCCTTCAAGTAGTTATCGAAGTGTTGTTGTTGTTGTTCTGTGCTGTCGAATCATTTGCGACTCATAGCACCCTATGTACAACAGCCCTAAACCCTGCTCTATCTTGTGCCAGTCGCACTGCCTCTGACACACCCATTCCGATTACCCCAGTCACCAAATCAATCCATCTCATAGAGGGTCTTCCCCTCCTGCGCTGTCCCTCCACCCTCCCAAGCATGATGTCCCTCTCC